ATTGTATAGATCTTAATGTGGAGAATTTTGAAAGGCAGTCAAGCGATTTTCAATAAATAGTATTTGTTCCTGTTCTCAAATCCCGAAATATAAAAGGCAGCCTACGTACTCTCATAGCCAAAATGAGATTGGTACAGCGCTGGGCATGGAGGGGCACTAGTACTGTCCTCCAGTATGTCAAAAACTGGAGATTAATCTTGTATTGCTGGTCTTTGTCTAAGTGTACTCAGTTCATTTTCCTTTGGTAAAGAGGTGCTTGCCAATACTGTACCTTCTCGGCTCGGCTTGCCTATGAATAACCTGAAATGGCTCATATTGATAGCGTAGAAAACAGTTTTAACAGTAGACGGTGAGTTTTTCACGGTATGTACCCTTTGGAGGATGTATTGATCATTTTGTTTTCGGGAGGGTCTCTACGAACTTCGATGGAATCTATGCAAGTGGCAGTTGATGTGTGAATTTCGTATTCGTTTCCATGGTCATTTAATTCAGAAAAAAATTGCAAAAAACGGTCACACCTTGCGCACACCCAATCGAAGGCAACATAGAACCGCTCTCGGACACCTCGTCGATCTCGATTGTCATTTTCTAATCATAGCCGTTTTCGTTTTCTTTCGTATGTTCAGTAGAGACGTAAACAACCGTGTTTGGGAATTCTCATCCTACCTTTTTTACATTCCTCAGGAGCTTAAACGCATTCTTGCCACAGAGGATTAAGTCATTAGATAAGATTGGAGTAAAGCGACAGCTATTGTTTGAATCTGAAGCTAAGTATAGCATGTCTAGAGAGTAAATATTTTCTGTATCTTGTTTACTTTACTACCACCAGGTCATTACGCAGCCTTTATCCATGATCAAAATTCTTCTGCTATGCTGTATATGTCCTCTCCTCGTTCGCGGTAGCACATCACCACTTCCAATACCAATAGGGAGGTATGTATATTGGGCAATCAGATTCATTCTTCAGAAAAGAATACATGTGAACAAGAAGTGGCGCTATATGAAGTGAAAGCCTTGCCTAATTGTTTTCTTGGTGCAAGAGGTCTGAAGAATTTCGCCTAAGCCCGTTTGTCGAAATCACCCTGAGAGATTGCATGTTCACAGAAACGACAGGAATATATTTCCTTTTTAACTAGTTAAACGTTAGATATAAAATTTCTGAAGGGGTTTGGGAACAATACCCTACAGGCGTACAGTTCTTCCAAACACCTACGACGAAATGGCTGTGCACTAATGCTCAATTATAGGTTTTTATGAGTCTCGTCCCTTCCGAAATCGAACCTACCTTTCTGAATAGCGTAGAAAAAAGCGAAATGGAAAATATCAGATGGGATCAATCTGAGTCTACAAGCTTAGCCATAGAGGTCTACGTGAGATTTGAGATGTAACCCCGTGAACAACAAGGCAGTAGAATCCTCCTAATATATTGTTTACCTACTAAATGGTCCAAGCTGACAATTCCAAGCTCACACTTCAAAAAAGTTTTCAAAGCATTCCTCTTGCCCTCAGACCTTCCTCTTGCCTTCAGAGAAGAAGCTACTGTTCTCCTTTAAGCTTAGACGTAAACATGGCGTACAGTCGATCAGTACCCTTCGCAAGAAAACCATCAAGCATAAAATTCCGAGCTGAACTTGTAGCAATCATGAAATCTACTTCATATTGTAATGTGTTTCTCGACCATAACCAATTTTTCAGTGACAAAACCGATCTTCGCGGAAGAACGAATCAAAGAGAGTACAAGTCAGTGCAGTTTACTGCTACTTTACACTGTGATTATTTGTCTTTCTGCTTTGCAATAAGACCTTCAAAAGATTCTTCCTCTTAATTTCCAATTCTAGTGATCGATAAATCGATAAAACTCTAGTGATCGATAAAACTACGTTACCAAAATAAATCTTCAAGGGATCGCTCTAAGGCAGCAGAACAGAAATACCTACGGCAACTAGAAGAGTACGAATACCAACGAGATCTGTATCTCAAAAAAATAAACGAGGCTCAGGATCGATACTACGATCGGTACTTCCAGCAAATGATGAATTACGCAGCCCAGGTCCACATACAAAGGTGTGTTTCCCAAACTCTCCAGCTCTAACTTCTCCCTTGGTTTCGGGAAGCGCAAAGACACTCTTTCTAGCCTTAGCTTTCCCCGAACACATTAGAATCCAATCAGAATATGGTCTCAGTTGTTGGAAGAAAGAGTACTTGTGTCTGTTACAAAAAATTCTTGAGTAGGGTTGATCACACATTTAAAATACCTCTCTGGAAAGATGCACCAGCTGACAATTCCAGATATCAGGCATTGTTGCGACAACAAAAGTTGGAAAGGAGACGTCTAGAAAAGGTGCTGAGACAGCTTGGACTCTCCTCTGACGAGTTCACCCCACCGACTTCTGAAGAAAACAGTAGCGAAGAAGAGGAGAGGCTTGAGTAAGTCAGTTTCATCTTTGGTAGTGTATCCTTATAACATTGCTCCCATAAAAATGTTATGTATTGCAGACCTGCCGGGGTAAATGAACGGGAAGCACTGTGGTGGTTCCCCTGGGACCGATATATGCCTTTTTCTCAGGGTAGTCATTAAATAACTATGTGATATCATTCGACCGTTTGGCTCAGTTGATCTAACTCGAGCAACCTGATTCTTGTCATTCTGTATGCTGAAGCTGTGAGCACGCTTTTTATGCTTGTGTAACTCAGTGCAACAGCATTTGCTGATGCAAAATAATCTCACGACTAGGTTTACGGTACCAGTTTGCTTTAATAAGAAAATAATATCACCGAACTACTTTGCCTGCATGCTCGAACAGTCATTTTGCGTAACTTTTGTATAAGAATAATGCACTGTGACTCCTGCAGGCTAGCAGAATTTCTTCCATAAGAGGTTTCGTGGCATCGTCAGGAGGGTCATGGCAGAAAGCCCTCATCATACTGTTCCTACTGATACTATTGGTGCCCTCGTTTGGTTTGTCGAGTGCCAGTTTATTTGTTTTTTTATGTTGGCTTCTTCTAATGCTGTCTCATACACCATACAAATTGATTAATAAAGTTTAAATCCCTTCTAGAGCTCGGTCTCCATAACCGTCAGCACTTTTCCGCGATGTTAATGACTTCATTATCTCTTGACTTTTTCTTTGCAATTCAAAAGTAGTCGGATGGTTGCATCGCATGTCTATGTATACCTCACCGCCGTTTCGGGAATGGCAATGTATTCATTGGAAAAATGACACCCAAT